GTTTGAAAAGTATGACGGACATAGGGACCCTATAGCTCACCTGAAGAGGTATTGCAATTAGTTGAGGGGAGTGGGTGGAAAAGAAGAGCTCCTAATGGCTTACTTTGGGGAAAGTCTAGTTGGAATTGCATCCGGATGGTATATGGACCAAGACATCGCACCCTGGAATATATGGGATGACTTGGCCCGAGAATTTGTCAGACAGTTCCAGTACAACGTGGACATGCTCTAGATAGAAACTCTTTGTCCAATTTAAAGAAAAGTCTTCGGAGAGCTTCTGAGAGTACGCCGTCAAGTGGCGTGAACAAGCTGCCCGGGTGAAACCCCCAATGGATGAGACCGAGATGGTCAGTGTCTTCTTGCAAGCCCAAGAGGTTGATTACTTCCAAAACATGATGTCCGCTATGGGCAAGCCATTTGCAGAAGCCATAAAGATTGGGAAATAGTAGAGAATGGTTTGAAAACGGGTCACATCCTAAGATAGTCGGCTATAAGAGCTACTTACCAAGCAATCCAGAGCGGGTCAGGGGGCACAACAAACCGGAAAAATAAAGAAGAGGTGACAATGATGGCCTCAGGTCTAAGAAACCCCCGTCAACCCCGAGGTTATTTCGGTTCCTCCTCAGAAACCCTACAACATTATTATCCTCACCAATATGCGGCATAAACCATGACTCCTCAGCCCTATGCAGTGATAAATGCCCAGCCATTTGCTCGGCCACAACAACAGTATAACCAGAACCGAGCTCCACCTCCCAGAAATCACCTTCCTCACCAAGATCCATACAATCCCCGTACCCCACAGAATAACTTTCCATATAACGCCCGTGCCTGTGGACCACCCAGAAAGACCAACTTCACACCCATTGGTGAGTCATATTCAACCTCTTCCCAAAGTTGGTCCAAATGGGTCTGTTGTAGCCCATACCACCAAACAGGCAAAATCCAGAGTCACCCTCCTATCGACCCGGTACTCGATATGCTTATCATTCAAGGGAAGAAGGACACAACACTGAGGATTGTTGGACCCTAAAAAGGGCGATTGAAAACCTTATAGAACAAAAATATGTAGTGCTAATGGATGAAGAAGTCCCTAATGTAACCAACAACCATTATTAGCTCACAACAATGGGCCGGTTATTGGGATGATCTGTGAAAACAAAGAGTTTGACCCAACTTTAAAAGCTATCATTGCTATTGCCGATGTTGAAAAGAAGCCCGAAACGGCAACAAAGCAAGCTAAGGATGAGAAGAAAAACAATCCCACTCCTCAAAGCATAGAAAAGGTTGTGGAACGGGCAGTACCTCCCGAATGTGTCATTCTATATGTTCCCAGGGCCCCCAGGAAAGAACAGTTTGTGTTGAGTTCTCCCAAAAGGTTTGAGCTAAACAAGGTCACGCTTACGGTACCAAAGATGTACATACCAAAGGGGACTTATGTGGCGCGGGAGCCGGTAATTTCACCAAGGCTGACTGAGCCCGTGGTTATCAGCTGCGCACCACAAAAGCCCATGAAAGAAACCCCACTACCGTCCCCTAGAACTATAACAAAGCAATAGTGACGTATAAGGGAAAAGAAATCATGGGTGAAGTGAATGAAACAAACCCGTCTGGAAAGTACCTCAATTTGGAAGAGTTGAACAAGACCAAACAGAAGCGGTTTCCGCTTAAAAAGCCAGTCAGTGCCGAAGAGGCAGAGGAATTCTTTCGAAAGATGAAAATAGCGGACTACACTATGATCGATCAACTCAGGAAGTCCCCCTCTCATGTATCACTTTTGTCCCTACTGACAGGCTCGAATGAGCATCAGAAAGTGCTGATAAAGACACTCAATGAAGCATATGTTACGACCGAGATCACGATTGAGCAATTGAAAAGAACGGCAGAACGATTTTTTGAAGTCAATCAGATCTTCTTTAGCCGAAATGACTTGTCACCAGAAGGGGTTGACCACAACAAAGCTCTTCATTTGACTGTTAAGTGTGAAGAGTACTACGTAAAAAGAGTTATGTTGGATGGCGGATCTGGGGTTGACATCTGCCCTTTCTCGGCCTTACAAAGAATGGAAATTGGGACTGAAAGGATCAGGCCCAACAATGTTTGCGTGTGTGCATTTGATGGAATCAAAAGGGACATGACAGGGGGGAGTGATTTGATCCTAACCATTGGCCCTATGGATTTTGAAGTGACATTTCAGGTTTTGGACATGACACATTCTACAATTTTCTCCTAGGAAGGCCTTGGATCCATGCGGTAGGGGCTGTACCTTCTACTCTCCAACAGATGGTTAAGTTTGAGCATGAAGACCAAGAAATCGTGATTCATGGAGAAGATGAGCAATCAATTTACAAGGACCCGTCAGTCCCATGTCTGGAAGCTAAAAAAGGTAGCGAGCACATAATTTACCAAGCTTTTGAGATTGTGGTCATAGACCAATGTGAGGAAGGAACCCCGTGTCCTCAACCCTTCTTGTCTAACGCGTCAATAATGGTTTCTAGTGAGATGATCAAGCATGGCTACAAGCCCAAGAAAGGGCTCGGGACATCTTTGCAAGGCATTACGGAGCCCATCACCTTGACTGCCAGTGAGAATTTCTGTGGTGTCGGTTTCCAAGCTACAGAAGCTGACGTGAAATGGGCTAAAGAATGTAAGAACGATGGGTGGGTGTCACCTAAGCCGGTCCCGTATCTCGCCAGAACATTTGTTTAGCCAAAGTACACAGAAGAAGAAGATGAGGCCTTCACGGCCGAAGAAATTGAAGACATCTGTGGGGCAATGAGGCAAATGTTATATGAGGCTCATATGGTCTAGTTGGGTAAAGGCTCAAGCACTGCTGAGGTGCAATATATGGGGTCCAATGCCAAGCTTCGGAACTGGAAGGCTACTCCATTCCCAGTCAGGCGGGAATCCCGGTAGTTCAGTCTTGCCATCTTTTCTGCATTCTGAGTTATTTCAGGGTGTAATTCGAATGTATTTTAGTTTATTGTCTTTAAAATTCCAGTGTAAACCTTTCTATCTTCAAATTCAATAAAATGAAATCAATATTTCCTCATCTATGAATCTCTCTCTTTATTCTTTCTGATTCTTGTTATTTTTCTTATTTTTCTCTTTCAGTTCTAATAATGCAGACTTAAATAACATGACATGCTTGCGAACTTCATGCCCAGATCCTAACGCGTTGTCTAACTGTGAAATAATGAACCAAGAACCAGAATATGATGAAGATGAGGCTTTTAGGGAAATAAACTGAGAATTAGAATAATTTGAGAATAAGCCTAAGCCAAACTTAAATAAAACTGAGCCAGTTAATTTGGGTAGTTCAGAAGAGGTCTAGGAAACTATGATAAGCATTCACACTGATGAAAGAACTAGGGATGCATTGATCCAACTTTTGTTAAATTCAAAGACGTGTTTGCCTGGTCCTATGATGATATTCCAGGGCTGAGTGTCGATTTAGTGGTGCACAAATTGCCAACTTACCCCGATTATCCTCCTGTCCAACAAAAATAGAGAAAGTTTAAAACCGACATCAGTGACAAGATCAAAGAGGAAGTCACCAATAGTTAAAAGCGAGTGTGATCTGAGTGGTCTGATACACCACATGGCTGGCTAATGTGGTCCCAGTGCCAAAGAAAGATGGGAAAACCCAAGTGTGTGTTGACTATTGGGATCTGAATAAAGCAAAACCCAAGGACAACTTCCCGTTACCAAACATCCACATCCTTGTTGACAACTGTGCCAATCATGAGATACAGTCTTTTGTGGATTGTGATGCTAGATATCATCAGGTCTTGATGGATGAAAAAGATGCAAAAAAGACGGCTTTCACCACATCTTGGGGTACTTACTGTTACAGGGTCATGCCTTTTGGTTTAAAGAATGCCGGGGCAACTTACATGAGAGCTATGACTTCCATCTTTCACGACATGATGCACCAAGAAATTGAGGTGTATGTGGATGATGTGATCATTAAATCAAGAACGCAAGACGATCATGTGCGGGATCTGAGAAAGATCTTTGAGCGTCTGCGTAAGTTGACTTGAAATTAAATCCGGCAAAATGTGCATTTGGAGTACCATCTAGGAAACTTTTGGGGTTTATAGTCAGTCGGAGAGGCATCAAGTTAGATCCAACAAAGATAAAGTCTATTCGGGATTTGCCGCCTCCGAGGACCAAGAAAGAAGTTATGAGTCTGTTGGGAAGACTAAATTACATTAGTAGATTCATTTCTTAATTGACTTCCATATGTGAGTCCATATTTAAGCTATTGAAGAAAGATGCGGCGATTAGATCGACAGATGAGTGTCGGGAGTCTTTCGACAAAATCAATGAATATCTATCGAATCTGCCCGTGTTGGTTCCACCCGAGCCGGGGAGGCCTTTATTCTTGTACTTGACAGTGTTAGAGAATTCTTTTAGATGTGTCCTTGGGCAACATGAAGTAACCGGGAAGAAAGAACAAGCCATATACTACTTGAGCAAGAAGTTTACTAGTTATGAAGCCAAATACACTCTGTTGGAAAGAACTTGTTGTGCCTTAACCTGGGTTGCTCAGAAGCTTAGGCATTACTTTTTGGCTTACACCACCTATCTAATCACCAGATTCGATCCTTTGAAGTACATATTCCAAAAGTCGATGCCCACGGGAAGGTTAGTGAAATGGCAAATCCTGCTCACCGAGTTTGACATAGTCTATGTCACCCCCACTTCAATGAAAGCTCAAGCCTTGGCGGATCACCTAGCTGAAAATTATGTTGATGATGAATGTCAGCCTTTGAGTACTTACTTTTTGGACGAGGAAGTAAATTCAGTTGAGGTAATACCAGAGGACACTAATGCTTGGAAAATGTTCTTCGATGGAGCTGTGAATGCAAAAGGTGACAGGATTGGGGCAATTTTGATTTCTCCCACTGGTCAGCACTATCCGGCCACAACCCAGCTTCATTTTTTTTTGTACAAACAACACTGCCGAGTATGAAGCCTGCATTATAGGCATGAACATGGCAGTTGATCAGGATGTCGAAGAGTTGCTAATCATGGGAGATTCCGATTTGATTATTCGACAAGCTCAAAGTGAATGGGAAACTCGGGATGTCAAGCTTATTCCGTACAGGCAACATGTCGAGGATCTTAGCAAGCGGTTCAAATCCATCGATTTCAGGTACATTCCTCGGTTTTACAATGAGTTAGCCGATGCACTAGCTACTTTGTCCTCGATGCTGCCATATCCAGGCAATGTCCGCATTGACCCGTTGGAAATCCAAATTCGAGAAAGACATGGTTATTGCAACACAGTTGAAATAGAGCCAGATGTCCAGCCATGGTTTCATGATATCAAAATATTCTTGAAAACAAAGGAATATCCCGAGCAAGCTAGTGGAGACCAAAAGAGAACCATTAGAAGGCTTGCCAGCGGTTTCTTCTTGAGTGGAGAAGTCTTGTACAAAAGGACTCCAGATCTGAACCTTCTAAGATGTGTGGATGCCCAAAAGGTCGTAAGAATCATGAATGAAGTGCACGTAGGAGTATGCAAACCCCATATGAACGGATACGTCCTTGCGAAGAAAATCCTTCGAACAAGCTATTACTGGATGACCATGGAAAAGGATTGCTTCAGTTTTTTTCGAAAGTGTCATCAGTGTCAGGTACACGGTGACCTAATTCATGCACCGCCTTCAGAATTACATCCTATGTCAGCACCGTGTCCGTCCGTTACTTGGGGTATAGATGTTATTGGGCCAATCGATCCAAAAGCCTCAAATGGGCACAAATTCATACTAGTTGCAATTGACTACTTCACAAAATGGGTCGAAACAGTCACTCTCAAAGCCGTCACTAAGAAAGCAGTGGTGGACTTCGTGCATTCCAACATTATATGTCGTTTTGGTATAACTAAAACTATCATTACGGACAATGCTGAAAATTTGAACAGTCATTTGATGAGGAAGGTATGCGAACAATTTAAGATCACGCATCGGAACTCTACCCCTTATCGGCCCAAAGCTCATGGTGCTGTTGAAGTAGCGAACAAAAATATCAAGAAGATCCTCAGGAAAATGATTCAAAGTTCTAGACAATGGCATGAAAAGTTGCTTTTTGCATTGTTGGGATATCGCACAACCGTGCGCACATCAGTTAGGGCAACACCTTACTTATTGGTTTATGGCACTGAAGCCGTAATACCCACAGAAGTTGAAATTCCATCTCTTCGAATCATCGTTGAAGCTGAGATTAAGGATAATGAGTGGGTCAAAACCCGTTTAGAACAATTAACCTTGATTGTTGAAAAGCGGATGGCCGTAGTTTGCTACGGGCAGTTGTATCAACAAAGAATTGCCATGCCTATAACAAGAAAGTTCAACCTAGGAACTTTGAAGTGGGGCAGCTCGTTTTGAGACGTATTCTCCCACATCACAAGAAAGCAAAAGGAAAGTTCGCTCCAAACTGGAAGGGTCCGTACATTATAAGAAAATTGTTGCCAAAAGGGGTATTGTACTTGGGATACATTGAAGGGAATGACCCTGAAGCAGCTGTCAATGCAGACACGGTCAAAAGGTATTACGTTTAACCCTTCTGCGGTACAGCTATTCTCCGATTGGGATGAAGAAGTCTTTCATCCTCTCTACCCAAACACTTTTAACCATTTGCTAACCCTTTGAGCCGGTTACCTTTCTTTGATTACCCTCTTTGGAACCCAAAAATGTTTGTTAAAAAAAACAAAGACAAAGTTCCCTGAACTACGTTCGACTTGATTCCGAAAGGATACGTAGGTAGCCTCTCTCTGGGGTTCAGTCACACTAAAACAAAAATCCACATTCCCCCCAAAGTTGAAACTGGGGCAGAATTTATAATGGTTCGGCTAGGGTTTACCTGAAAGGTTCCAAAGTTGTAATTCAATCCAAACTCTTTTTATCCCAAATCCTGTTCAAGTCCTTCCAATCAATCGGTAAAAATGTTCAAGATTGAAAGATGTGGTTACTTGGATCAGATACAATCAAATGAGAGAAATAAAATGAGAGAGTCTTATTGGTGAAAACCCACACGGGCACCGTAAGGCAATGGTAAGCAGAGAAATTAAAAATGAGAGAGTCTTATTGGTGAAAACCCACACGGGCACCGTAAGGCAATGGTAAGCAGAGAAATTAAAAATGAGAGAGTCTTGTTAGTGAAAACTGTGAGCACCTAATTTTTTGCCCTACATGAAAATAACTCCTAAAATAAACCAAAAATAATTTTAAGGGATTTTAGAGGTTTTTCTTTATTTAATTGCATTTCAGGCATTTTTAATATTTTAAGATCATAAGAAAATCATAAAAAATGTCAAAAATACCATGCATTGCATTTAGATTTTGTTTTTATATTTTAGGATTAATTAGTTAATTATTTATTTTATTGAAAATAAAAATCACAAAAATAGCTCATTTTTACATTTTTTGCTTTTAATTCTTAGATTAGTGATTTTTCTCTTTTAATTTTGGATCAACTAATTTTTATAAATATTATAGTTAGAAAATTAGCCTAATTTTACGATTTATATTAATTTAGGAATTTAATTAATTAGAGAAATAAAAAAGGAAACAAAAAGAGAAAAGAATTTGAAGAAAGTTTTTATTTGGCCCTAAAATTGGGCTAGAATTCAAATTGACCCAATTCTCACAAACCAAGCCCAAAACCTTTACCCAAACCCACCGGCCCAATCCTCTGAACACCTAATCGGATCCCCCACACATAAAAACAACAGACCTAGACCTAAATGAGTACTCTCCCCTCTCATCTGAAGAAAACGAAGAACAGAGAGCAACGACGCAGGAGCTCCCTTCCTCTTCCTCTCGAGTTTTCTCTCAAAAACCACAGAAAATCGAATACCTTAATCCCTGAAGCCACCACCGCTGTCCTTTCCCATTAAAACACATAAAAATACACACACACACACACACTCCTAAGTCTTTAGCAACAATAGAAATCGCAGAACTCCAGATCTGAAAATTAAAAAAAAAACTGAAAACGAATACAAAAAAAACAGAATCAAAGGGGAGGATCACAGAGCTATTCGAAGCTTCAGTTTGTTTGCATCGTCTTTTTCTGGGTTCAGGAGATATTTGAGTTGAAGAAAACTGATGTTCGCTGCTACGTTGCTGTTTCCGACTTGCTCGCTACTACAAGAAAACAAAGAAGCTTCCACCAGTCTGGAAGTAGTAAGTTCATTCTGCCTGTTTGATTCTATTAGTGAACTACTCCTGATTCACCTTTTAATCAAGCTTCATGTTGTATTTGCAAATAATATATTTTCAAATAAATGTGAAAATTGTGAATATGTTGAATGCTTTTATGAATTGACTTATTTATCTAATCATGTTCTGTTAATTGTCCTTGGAAATTTGGTGGAAATGTTTATTTTGGTTGGAGAATATTGATTCTGTCAATGCATTATGGTTATTCTCTTTCTAATGTAGTAATAGATAGACTATTCTAGTTGTAGATCTTGTGTGGTTCCAGAGAACAATTTTTACACTTGCTATAAAGAATTTGATTTAAAGGATAAGCTGTCCTCAAATGGGATGTTTATAGTTACTGCAGTATAAATACGCTGAAGGCACTACTTCTTTTTTTTGCTTGAGTCTGGCAAAAGAACATACAATCTTCTTTCAAATATTGATGAAAGCAAATGGATAGAAGTTTACGGAAATCTTATGTTTCCTGCCCAACCCGTCAAGCTCTATTTGCTGAATATTATTAATGTTTGGTTTTGAGCAAAGCCAAAACTAGGTTGCATGACTAACTGGTTCAAGTTTTATTAGCTAAAATAATGCTCTATCCACAATAAATTTCCATAATTCCCATGCCATTGCATCAATTTCAAACTTAAGAATTGAACAAATGAACTCATGAATCCCGTAGTTTGCTTTAGGCACGTAATTAAATCATCATGACTACGAGTGTGGTTCCCATGGCGTAGCTGTGATACCTAATTTCAAATTAGTTTTAAATATGAACATCCATAGTTTGTTTTAGTTAAGTAAAACCTTTTGAAATAAATTGAGGCGTTCCATCCACAAATGAATCTCATAATCTACGGCCCTCACACTAATACAAAACTAGTATGGAAAAGACTTGGGACATTCATAACTAGCGTAGAAAATACTTTGAACATTCGTAGCATACTTTAGGCGCGATTAATAATAATTATCGTGACTCTGAGTACGGTTCCCGTGACATAGTCATGACATATAATTCCCAAATTCGGGTGTGTATTTCATGTGACCCGATCACAATAACTTTGAACAATAATAAAATAAAAATATCGTGAATCGCGGGTGCATTTCATGTAGTGTGGTTTGCAGCGTGTTCTAAAACAAACAAGTGTACGACAATCGTAACTTGTTCAAGAAATAATTTCATAAATCCTAAAAATGGTTAAATAATTAATTAAAAACGGTAAAAGGAATAAAACGTACAATAGGTTTAAACACATGTAGTTGTCACGACCCGGATTTTCCACCCTCGGGAGCCGTAATGACGCATACTGATGTGAGCTAGGCAAGCCAATTATTGAACAAATTACCATTTTACCTCTTTTATACTCTTTAACATTTATAAAACAATAACGTGTAAACATCGAAAATTTAGAATAAGCGGAAGAAAAGCAATAAAAAAATATCTGAACATGTGCTAATACAACTGTTTAAGCCTTAACCACCCAGAACTGGTATCACAGTGTCACAGACGATCTAAGATTTACTAAATACAAGGTCCGAAAAATAAACGATACACTGTTTTAGAATTAAGGAAATGAAACAGGGATAAATAGATAGAGGGAGACACCAGGGCCCTGCGGACGCCTGCAGGTCTACCTTGGATCTCCGCATGGACTGAAGGTAGCCACCCAATCTACGATCCAAAAGCTTCTCTGGGATCTGCACATAGTGCAGAGTGTAGTATCAGCACAACCGACACTATGTGCTGGTAAGTGCCTAGCCTAACCTCGGCGAAGTAGTGACGAGACTAGGACCAGACTACCAAATAAACCTGTGCAATTCAACTATATACAGCGGAAGAGAAGAATAATAATAAACAGTCAAGTATGGGAGGGGTAGCATGCTGCGGGGGAGATATCAATTCAGAATTTAAGGACAACAGGTAATTGAAAGAAACAATATATCCCGGATATCAACAAAGAATCAGAAATCAATAAGTGCACGACATCACCCTTCGTGCTTTTACTCTTGTCCTCACCAAAACAATCAAGTAATGAAAGTGTGTACGACATCACCCTTAGTGCTTTTACTCTCATGCTCACCATATATTCAGTATAATCGGCACGTAATGGTACATCGTGTGGCACGACATCACCCTTCGTGCTTTACACTCTTTCCTCTCAAATCGTACATGGCATCACCTTTCGTGCTTTATCACTCTCTCGCCAAACAATTCATGGCCTCACCCTTCGTGCTTTAGCTCTCTTCCTCACCCAAACAACAATCACAACTAATAGGGAAAGGAAATAAATGAAACTACAATAAGAATCCCGGCAAGGGAACAATAATTCAACAACAAGTCCCGGCAAGGGACAACATCAAAACAACAACAACATCCCGGCAAGGGAGACGTTCTTTTCTCTTTTTTACTTTCACTTTACAACTCACTTTACAACTTGAGCCAATGCTCTAATAGGGTTCAATTTACCTCTTACACTTTCACATTTCATTATATGACTTGAGCCAACGCTCCTCAATATTCAAATGCCACAATTACTTCCACAAACTTTGCCAGCAATAGAAATCATCACCAAAACATGAACAATACAACGAAGTCATAAGAATCACAATATAAGACTCACGGGCATGCTTGACACCAACGTATAGATACTCGTCACTATGCCTATACGTCGTACTCGACAAGCACCACATAGCAAATAAGACTCGACTCCAAATCCCTCAAGCTAAGGTTAGACAAAACACTTACCTCGATGCCACAAACACAATTCATGTCTCAATTATCTCTTTACCCCTTGATTCCACCACCAATTCGCTAGTATCTAGCCACAAGTTACTTAATTACATCAATAAACGCTAAATGAATCAACCCCAATGCATGAAAATGAGTTTTCCAAAGTTTTACCCAAAAAGTCAAAAATTGCCTCAGGGCCCACATGGTCAAAACCCGAGGTTCGAACCAAAACCCGATTACCCATTCCCCCACGAACCTGAATATATAATTTCTTTTGAAATTGGACCTCAAATCGAGGTCCAAATCCTTTTTTTTTTGAAAAACCTAGGTTCTACCCAAAACACCCATTTTCCCCCATGAAAATCATTGATTTGAGTTGGAATCATGTTAAAAGATGTTGATGATTGAAGAAAACGAGTTAAAATTGACTTACAATCGATTTGGAAGAAGAGTTGTCATTGAAAAATCGCTCAAGAGTGTTTTGGTTTTGAAAGAGTGTGAAAAATGGGAGTTTTTCGACTAAGTATAAAAATTGTAGGTTGTAGATATGGGAATTGCGATTAGGGTTCGCAATGACGAACCCCGACCTCTGCTATGTTGGGAATTGTGAACAGCCTCATTTGCGAGCTGGGAATTGCGAAGATCGCGTCGCATTTGCGACTACTGGCTAGGAGGGGAGGCATCACATTTGCGATAGATTTTCTCACAATTGCGAGGTAGCTGGCCTGGGACATTGTTCGCATTTTGCGACAAGGCCTTCGCATTTGCAAGCCAGGCTTCACATGCAGGCCTGTAATGCACAGCTGAAAGTCTGCAATCCTCAAGTCCAAAAATTCACCCTGTGGCCTATCCAAAACTCACCCGAGCCCTCGGGGCTCCAAACCAAACATGCACACCAACCTAAAAACATCATACAGACTCGCTCGTGTATTCAAATCACCAAAATAACATTAACAACTATGAATTTAGCATCAAACTCATGAAATTTTCTTAAGAACTTCAATTTTCCAATTTTCTCAAAAACGATCCGATTCACGTCGTTTCAAGTTCGTTTCTTACCAAATTTCACAGACTTATCTTAAACCACATATAAGACCTGTACCGGGTGCCAGAACCAAAATTCGGACCCGATACCATCAAGTTTTAATTACAATTCATTTCCAAAACTCATAAACAATTTCAGAAAACAATTTTCTTTAAAAATTCATTTCTCGGGCTTGAGACCTCGGAATTCGATTCCGGGCATACGCCCAAGTCCCATATTTTCCTACGGATCCTCCGGGACCGTCCAATTATGGGTCTGGGTCCGTTTACCCAAAATGTTGACCGAAGTCAACTTAAACTCATTTTAAATGGAAAATTCATCATTTTCACAGATTTTCAATTAATAACTTTCTGGCTTCGCGCACGGATTGTGCACGCAGATCAAGGTGATGCCGAAAGAGGTTTTTAAGGGCTCGGAACGTAGAAATTACTTTTAAAACAAGTGATGATCCAAAAATAACCGTTCGTCCTCGAACGGACAGAAGAAGGAAGTACCTGAGTCGGGGAAAAGATGAGGATAACGGCCTCGCATATCGGACTCGGATTCCCAGGTCGAGGCCTTAGTGGGCTGACCTCTCCACTGAACACGAACAAAAGGAAAACTCTTCAATCTCAACTGACGAACCTTCCGGTCTAGAATAGCTACCGGCTCCTCCTTGTAAGACAAGTCCTTGTCTAATTGGACAGTGCTGAAATCTAACACGTGGGATGGATCACCATGATATTTTCAAAGCATGGACACATGAAACACTGGATGCACGACTGATAAGCTCGGTGGCAACACAAGTCTGTAAGCCAGCTCTCCCACTCAATCAAGAATCTCAAACGGGCCAATAAACCTAGGGCTAAGCTTGCCCTTCTTCCCAAATCTCATCACGACCTTCATTGGCGACACTCGAAGCAATACCCGCTCACCGAACATGAAAACCAAATCTTGAACCTTGCGGTCGGCACAGCTCTTTTGCCTGGACTGAGCTATACGAAGCCTATCCTGAATAATCCTGACCTTGTCTAAGGCATCCTGTACCAGATCCGTACCCAACAACCGAGCCTCTCTTGGCTCAAACCATCCAACCTGCGATCGACACTGCCCACCATGCAAAGCCTCATAAGGAGCCATCTGGATACTCGACTGGTAGCTGTTGTTGTAGGCAAACTCTGCTAAAGGCAAAAACTGATCCCACGAGCCTCCAAAGTCAATGACATAGGCTTGGATCATATCCTCCA